AAAACCTGAGCCAAAAGTAAAAAAAAAAAAAAAAAAAAAAAGAAAAAAGAAAAAGGAAAAAAAAAAAAAAAAAAAAAAAAACCTTAACCAAAATTAAAAAAAAAAAAAAAAAATAGAAAGAAAGAAGAAAAAGGAAAGAAAAAAAAAACAAAAACAAAACAGCAGCGTCTGAGTTCCAGTTGTGCAGCGGGCGCAGAGCGCTTTGGAATCACACTGTCACTTTCAATCGTCCACTGCGCTGACGGCTGCAGCGCCTGATAGAGGGAGGAGAGAGGGGAGGAGAGACGGCCAGGGGGAGGAGAGGAGCCGCCGCGGAGGGGCTCGGTGGGCCGGATCTCTACTGGAAGTGACCAGGGAGGAACTCTGCTGATCCGGATCAGGAGAGGGTCGTGACCCGGCGGCGGAGGGACACCCTGCGGGGCACAACTCGGCCCGAGGCATAAGCGAACTCAGCTGCTGTTTAAGGCCAGCAGGGGGCCCTCAAGAGCGCTTGATCTCTGACACAGCTTGAAGTTCAGAGCCGTTCTGTGATTCAATTCACTTCTTAAAGATGGAGGAGACAAACCGATTCCTCCGACTGCAGCCTGGAGATCAGACCGTCAGTGCAGAGCAGGAAGCAGGAAGCAGGAAGTAGGAGCCAGGTGTCATGCTCTCAGTAATTAGACTGCAAGACTGACTGAGCTATCGACATAGCTAATGCAAGCAACATGATATGTATTTTATTAATTTTTGTCTGTGTTTTTAGCATAACTATCAGACTAAGTGCTGTGAAGCCAGTTTTGTTCCTGTTGCCATAAGCTTCCAAAACTTTGATTCAGCATAGTTTTAATATTGTTTTATTTTATTTTTTTTTACTTTGTAATCTTATCCAAATGTCAATACTGTATTTGTGTTGGTGTTTTTTTTTCCTTATTCATTTAAATATTTCAATATTCACCACTGTGAATCATGTTATATTAATATTTATTGTGTGTCTTTGTAAAGTTTCCCGTTTGGAAAGAAAACCGAACCACTTCACTGAACACACCTAATGGTAGAAATAAAGTTTGAGTGAGTGAGTGATCGGTCGGTTCTGACATTTCTTTTCTCTGAAAGAATTTAACACATTTTACAAGTGAAATGCTCACAGTAATCATTTCTGCTGATACCTGAGTCCCGTTTTGCTGATTATTAGTAACTGATGGGTTTCTGCTTTTAAACACCAAGCTGCTTCTGACCGGGTGACTCCACGATTTATTTTCTGCTGGTTCTAGATGAGAAAATGTGAACTGGAGTTTAGCTCCCCATATCAAATTCTTCGTAGGATTTGCTCTGAGTTCTGTTCACTGAACTATTTGTAACCAAACATGCAGAAACCTTGAGGTTAGAGAAGAAATAAACTTGTCGGAGTGTTTTCTGCTTCGCAGCATGAACTTATCAGGCTGGTATCTGCAGCTTCTCTCCGTCTCATCCAACAGCCACAAACTGAAGTCCATGTTCTGATGTGTGTTAATAAGTAGCCTAATAATAAGTCCAGGATGAGCTCCCTCTCTCCCTCCCTCCACTGTGTCCACATCAGATGCGCTGCAGCGTTAATCATAAACCTGTGGGGTGATAGACAGATGTCACAGCACCGTGTCTAATAGATAAGGAAGCCTGAGAAGGTCAAATGCCACCGAGGGCTGCTGCAGGGGAGTGTTCCCTCCCAGCAAAAAAAACAACAATAAAAAAAAACAAAAACACATTTCATCTT